AACCTTTGCTAATATTTATAATTCATTCTCTTTACTTAAGTTTAATCGCTCCTCTCCCAACATCATATGCTTATAGTGATTCTAGATTTTTTAATAATCTAAATCTATTTTTGAGTACTAAAAAAAATATTTTACATTTTAGAAATATATTTTATCTCATTTATAACTTGCTTTGAATTATATGATTTTAATATAATATCTTGAAATCTATGAGCTCTTTTAAATTTATTATTTCATGATTTCACTTGTAATAATATAATTATACTTTATAAATTATTATAAGATATTGAAATTGATAAATTTTTGAACCATTTGAATTGATAAATTTTTGAAAGAGATCTATTTGAATTGGTAAATTTTTAAAAGAAATTCATTTGAAATATCTTATAATTTTTATAACTACTTTAATTCAAGATAAAATTTAATAAAATAAATAAATATATTCTTCTAAAAGAAAATAACAAAAAGAATAATAAAATTGAAGTTATTAATAATGATTTCTATTTATAAAATTATATAATTTGAGATGATTATTAATTAAAATATATACTTTACTTATTTACTAAAAAAATTGATTAATTAAAAAAAGAACTTTATAGAGAATTTATTGTTAAAAAAAGGAAGAGTTAAATTGCACAATAAGAGAGCATCAAAATGTTATAGATTAGTTTATTAATTGATAAATTAGCTTATTAATCAATAAATCAAAAGTAAAAGTAATAAAATATTTTGAGATATCTAAGTTCTATATCAATTTCTATAAAAATTGGTACAATAAATCAAAATAAAAGTTGAAAGAGATAACAAAAGAAATAAAAAAAATACAATATTCAAAATATTCTATTGTTTCTAAAATAATATAAAAGTATATTAATACTGATAGAATTCAAATAATCAAAATACAAAATTTCAAGATATATCCATAACAAAATTAATAATTCTTGTCCTGGTATAAAATATTAACCATCAATTTTATTGTAATATAAAAGATATAGTCAAATTTCTTTATAATTATTACTTTTGAAAAAGTAAAAATTGGATAACTATTGTAATAAAAATAATTATTTTTAAATTATTTATGTTTTTCATGTATTTTTGAATTGATTAGTTAATTAGCAATCTTTTAGTTACTACTATAACAATAAGTAAGTAGTTTAACATTAATAGTAGAATTACAAATCTCTGAACATGAGTTGGAAGAGTTTATTTATAAATTTTCTAAGTCCTGTATCAGTATTTTACAAAATACTGAGGGATTAACCAGACTTTTGTCTTCATTTATTGATGGAGTTTATACTTTAGCAGTATATGGCTGGGATTTCAGTTCAATATCATATAAATTACTTTTTTAGATCACGTACGTAACTGGGATGGTGCAAATTTATTATTGAAAATGTTGTGATCTATCCCAGAAAACAGATCAACTACATATGCTAAGGAAATTTACAATTTTGTCAATTCTTAGATATGAATACAGATACATGTACAAACTGAATACTTTGCATTTCAGCCTATCGCTACAGCTCATTATAAGAAGAATTCAATGAATGTCTTAATTAGAAAGGCAGAAATTTAATATCAAAAAGTAATTCTTATAAACGCGCGCCGGACGAATCATTACTACAAAATAATCAATATGACGAGTATCGTACATGAAAAACTATAAAATACAGTATTACTAAGAAGTAAATACAAAATTTAATCCGTAAATATAATAAAATAGGCCTTTCTGAGCATATTTACAGATTAAATTTTGTATTTACTTCTTAGTAAAGAAGTTTATCCGTTTTATAAAATACAAATGTTTGATGACTTTAGATGGTATCAGTATCGGTATGCACCATATATACAGGATTATATCGATATGCAGCAAAAAAAATATATCATTGACATCAAATTGATAGTTTTGTTTGCAAAATTTTCGTCATCTACTCACTATTACTGTTTGTTTAGATTATAACAAATGTTATGTCTCCTGCCAATATTATTGCATATGTTATTTACTTGGTGTGAATCCACCTACAATGAAACATCCATAAATGCAAGTCCTCGAGACCAGACACTAGCTTCATTTTTAGAGGTTGCACTTATAGAAAAAAAACATATCGATATTTTTGCTCATACTGTACATCAAATGATGCAACTATATCATTTCAATGAGACATTCATAGAAAATTTCGATCGTTATTGTTTCTTATCGTCTTATCGTTATAAAAACGGAAGGCCTCTTTATCATTCCGAAAGCAGTACTTTTTTCCCACCGAATGCTTGTACCCAAATTATCGTTATATTTACGCACGATCATAGTTTGTGACCATACATGTAGCAATAGAATTCATTCCAATAGAGGGTTGCATTTAGGGGAGCTTTGCATTCATGGGATTGCATTTTATTATTTTAGAATGTACGCAAATTCAATTTAATCAATTTATTGAGGTGCTTTCGGGATAATATAATAAAGCAAAAAGTCGTCATTGTCAAACGTAAACTCCAATACATGTACAATGTAGTAAGAAGCTTCTTTTAACATTAACGTTAATAAGAAAATGAAAATCAATTTACGCACTCTAAACCATAAAGATCTGTACCCACCTGCAGTAACTGCAACCCGACACATGATTGATTTTAGGGTTAGCGTTAGGTTAAGGGTAGGATTAGGTTAGAATGAGAAAGTTAATATATTATGTAAAATTTCCTCTCCGACGTTTTTCCGGTGTCGGATTTGTTTTGTCGGTTGATCAAAATTTACACATTTTTATTGGTTTGTGTTACTAGTACATGTATACGTAATCATATGTGAATGAAGCCTAAGCGCAGATCTAAATACTAAAAAGGCTACCGCTACGTATCTTGTTTGTTTTATCATTTTAATAAAGATTGTTTAATCAGACAACCAAGTTTCTTATTTTAGAAAATTTATAGACAAGCGTACAATCCAAATCTTGATTCATATGAACTATTCTTAGAAAATTTGAGAATTCGAGAATTTAGAGATCAATCAATATATCCATATACATCAAACTATTAGCGTTAGTACTCGTTCTAATTTTTGTGTCATAATGTAAAAAATTAAACCAAACATAGTACTTATCGTTATCTTTTATCTCACGAATTTATCGAATAGTTTGATGTACACATGTATATCGGATTTCCACATTACGTAATTGCAACACCGTTTTAGAAATTTATGAATGTAGCAATAGTATTGAATTTCTGTGAAGTTTTTAATTCTAAAATTCTGCGCAATTATAGTATTACTCTTAGTAATCAGCACAATTAATGCATAAACAAATATTTTCTATAATCTTTTCAAAGAATAAAAACATATATGTTTTTTGCACTTTTTTATAGTTCAATAACGTTTCCCAGATATTTGGCATGTTGAGTTTTTTCACAGCCACAAAAAATCAAGTTTTTATTAAAAGTTTGATGTGATTTTAAGAAGAATTTATCGATATTAACTTCTTTTTCTAATATTGATATCGATAATCTGGCTTCCAAATAACAAAAAAATCTAAATTATAGATTTAGGATAGAAAAATTTTATGCTGAACACGATCAATTCTATGAGATTTCTATATTAAGATTTCCAACAAGTTACGTAATGACAATCGTAATGTTGTGGAACAACTTGATTTTTGACAATAATTTTTTTGACACAAAGAAACTAAAATAAAAAGCTTTTTTCTATGCATAATTTTCTACCAGCCAGTCTAGAACCTACCAGATCAAAATTTAGCGTTATATGAAGTTTCCTATATTATGGTTAACGTTAAACCGGATATTTTACATCTAATAGATGTCATTCAAAGACCAGAGATCAAAAAGCTTTTTTGTTTGAGGCTCTGTGCTCAATGCAAAAATCTAAATTTAATTGTGAACAAAAAATTTTCGAGATTACTACATGTATACGTATACCATTCACTCCTTTTTTCAATAAAATATATAAAAGTTCGAAGAAAGAGAATAAATAATTGATGAAAGAGGTCTTGCTTTCATGAGGGATATGTACTTGAAAACGATCATGTAGCGATAGCATAAAGAATGATTGAATACGGTTACTGCATTCGTAAGTTAACAATTTTCTATATAAAAAATTATATCATATCGATAATTTTTGTTTCTTGGATGAAAATACCAGATCAGCGCAATTGATTTGTTTGTTTAGTGTACTGATGCTAATACCAATACGTTCATCGAAAAAGCCCGATAATGACAGGTTTAGATTTATAGTACTTTATGAAATCTAACAACAAATAATTCTGCTCAATTTTTGCCTAACGCTAACAATCAATCAAGTAAGAATGGAACTATTCATTGATAGAAAATTAGTATCGGTATTATCTGTTAGAGTATTAGATGGTCGTTTAAAGAGTATGAAATGTTCTAAATTTAAACTTGAATATCTTAATAATTTCTATTTAAAATAAAGTAAACTGAAAAATGACAATGAAACTTACCACAAGAAAACAGATAAAAATTTCACATAAAATATGACATTACGCCTACGACATGTATTTGCTGATTAAAAAAGAACCTTTTATTATTTACACAACAATAGAAGTCATAAAAGACTTCTATTTATACATTCTGTCTCATTTTATATTCAATTCATTATAAATCATGTATGGCGCCACTATGAACTTTTACAATGTCCCAAACACACAGATAATTCGATGAAGTCTAAGAACAGAAGTTTTATGAATAGAAACATGGCCACAAAAATTCTTATATAAGGACCCCTTTGCTCTTCATCGTCAGATCAATTCAGTAACAAGAAATAATAAATTCACTACTCTTTTATTAAATCATAATCACAAAAATGGCTCCTCATAAAATTGCTTACTTTTCAACCTTGATTTATGTCGCCGTGTTAGCTATCATGCTCATCAATGCCGAGCTGGCAAGCGCTTTCAGATTCGAAAAACGTGTACAACGAGGAGGAGAGGCCATGTGTAGTAAATATTGTCCAAATATTCCTGCTTATATCTCTGGTCCATGTTGCTGTCTTCCTTCATGTGCAGCCAGTTCTATTGCGAACCCCAACCCCGATATTGTAAATGCTGGAAATTAAATAACTATTTCACTCGATTTATTTGGCCTTTAAAAAATGAGTTAAATTCATACACCCTACATCCACACCCTATCACTTTTTCTTATATTTTTTTATAGTTCTTTATGTTTGTTTATTTTCTTTGCCTTTCCATTTTTTCTTTGTATTGGCTTGAAATTGAATAAAAGTAAATAATTTATCGTTGTTATTATGACGATAAAAATTAAAGCTTAACTTGGTTACTCAATCAAATTTAACAAACCAACCATATTAACTCGTCATGGAAGTACGTATAGAGTAAGAGTAATTCGTTAGGGAATAAGTTTTTCCAGAACGAGTTTTCAGTTGGGTTTAACGTAAATGGTAAAAGAACATGCAAGTTGACGTTTCCCATGCTTTAAAATTTCCCAGTCAAATTGCAAGATCAGTGTAACATAAAAATTGAAAATAGTTTACAACCTTTTGTGTCCCAACAAAAAATAATCCTTGCAAAATTTTTTTTGATACCTTTTTTAGCTTTAGCCCTAACGCAATACTAACTGAAATTCTAATTAATTGATTGGTAAATCAATCTTGCAATTTGATTGGACACATTGCGGAAAATTTGAAATTTTGGGGTATCGCTGTATGAGTTTAAACTTCCTAATCCGTTAAAATACATCGAGCACCCCAACGTCTTAGGTTATGCGATAAAAATTACCATCACTATTTTGAGAATAATATCTTTTCCCTCGTAAACTAGCAACGGCAGGCTTTTGAAATTTACATAGAATAATTGTTATTATTAACATAATATCATTAGATCATTTCACACCCCCAATAGAAGGTGATTGAGTATTTCTATAATGTAAACTCAAAATAATACAAGCCTAATGTGTTGCTATATTAATAACGTGGTAATTAAACGGTGATAATTTCGCAAATAGATTAAATCACAATAAAACATCGAGATTATCGGATCAACTTTTAAAATTTATCGATCTATTAGCAGAATACATGTAAATAAAAATGTATAGGAAAAACTTATTAACCAGTAAGTTCAATGTTTCTTATCTCTCATTAACTTTAAGTTCTCCTTTCTATTTTATCATTATTTCGATTAGTCTTCTCGACACATCAATATAAATATCATGAAATAGCTATATCTTTTAAACTATGAATTAATTACTAAACCAAATTCCAGAACCAATAGAGCTTTAACAATTTCACATTCTTGAAATTTACATATGCTTACTATAAAAAATGTTAGATATAATCCAGATATCAATATTAGAAAATGAAGTTAACATCGATAAATTCTTCTTAAAATTACATCAAACTTTTAAATAAAAACTTGATTTTTTTGTGGTTATGAAAAACCCAACATGCCAAATATTTGGAAACTATAAAAAAGTGCAAAAAGCATATATGTTTTTATTCTTTGAAAAGATCAAAGAAATATTTGTTCAAAGAAAACATAAGTTGCTTGCTGATCTGTTAAACCCATGTTATTTTTTTATTTATAATCCAATTCTATCTGTAAAACTTATTAAATAAATTATCAAATAAAAGCAGCAAAAGACATCTTTTTTTGTTATAATACAGAAAAAAATGATAACAGATATAACTAAAAAACAATACGTTATCGTATTAATTCGTGAGTCAGTTTCTTTGTACCGAAGACGTGCAATAATCTATCTAAAATTTATGAGATACGTAATCTGTGGCACTACTGTTACAGCAATTCTGGATAGTGGGTTTCACTGAGAATCACTATAAGCATATGATGTTGGGAGAGGGGCGATTAAACTT